CCCTCGCTGGCCAGCAGAGGCCACCATCTCCGGACTTTTAGCATTACATCATCCATCTACACTGATTGCGCGTACACCTGATCTGAATTTTGTTAACGACCCATGTACCTCATAAAAGCCGCACTCAAACACTCAGTCAGTGCGAAGTCTTGTTCAGCCCCGGCCAGCATTACTGAGCGTTATTCCCAGCCTGATCTCTTGTGTACGACTCCAGCCTGTCTCTTACTTTGCTTCGCCTTCTGCCTGCCCACGACCCACGCCTGATATACGTACTCTGATACTCGCTGCCTGCCCTCAACCCAAGCCTGATACACGGACTCTGATTCTCGCTCATTCCCCCCCACTCGTGCCTGGTAACTCTCTCTGTGTCTGTACATCACCATTCTTGATACCCTTACTACTACTGTGGATGTGTGTGTGCACTCCGGTGCATATTGTGTGTTTGAGTGAAGTTGTGAATAATAAATACTGCATAATGGATCCCGCCATGTCAGTCTCCTCGTTACACTTTTATACAAAATATCAAAATATGCTATTTTTCCAGACAGTCTAAATTCATGTTGAATACTTTTTCTTTAGCTAGAATAGTTTGATATCTGTTTCTGTTCATTGTTATTCTGACCAACTTGCATTTTATGTGCTAAAAAATCCTCAAAAGTGTTTTATTGTGTGTGTATATATATATATATATATATATATATATATATATATATATATATATATATATATATATATGTGTGTATCAGGAAAACATCCCCCACATCGTTTACCACCACCACCAGTCTGAACCGTTGATACAAGGCAAGATTAATCCTTGCTTTCATTTTGTTGATGCCAAATTCTGACCCTACCATCTGAACTTCACAGCAGAAATCAAGACTCATCAGATCAGGCAACATTTTTCCAATCTTCTATTGTCCAATTTTGGTGAGCCTGTGTGAATTGTAGCCTCAGTTTCCTGTTCTTAGCAGGAGTGACATCCGGTGTGGTCTGCTGCTGTAGCCCATCTGCCCATCTCACTTCAATCACCTTTCTACCTCATTCTGATGCTCAGTTTAAACTGCAGCAGATCGTCTTGACTATGTCTGCATGCCTAAATGGATTGAGCAATGTGAATGGCTAATTAGAAAATTGCGTTAACAAGCATTTGGACAGGTGTACCTAATAAAGTGAGTGTACATTGACAGGTCAACATAAATTTTATGTAGAATATTTGATCTTTAATACCTGTGTGTGTTTTGAGTATAACATACTGTTTTATTCTGTACTGTAAATGTATGATGGCTAAATGGGTTAAATAGTTATTTAGAGAATTTTTTATACAAAATATCAAAATATGCTATCTTTTCAGACGTTTATATTTGTGTATACCAGTTCTTTAGCCAAAATGATTTAGTAATCCACATTTGGTTTAATTACATCGATTGTTTGTTGATTGTTATTATGAGAAAGTTGTGTTTTCTTATGGGGGGTGGGGGGGTAATCCTTAAAATTATTTTATTTTATCTACATTTAAAGTGTGCAGATTTAGAATATTTAATATTGACCTTTTGCCATTTTCTGCAAATAAATGTCTGTAAATGATGATAATCTCATTTGAAAGTTTATCTTAATTGCTTGTTTTTACATTCAGCCGTGCCTTTTAATCATATTTCATAGACAGTAGAAGCAATTCTGAAATGACATATAACACAGCCCTACTTTAGAGACTCAAAATATATTGCATTTAATACACGTTTACTATATAATAAGATAATTTAACTCCAATTAAATATCTTAAAATGTAACATACAATTTATAATAAAGTATATTCTTTAATTCATCTTATTTCTGCAATTATTCACATTTCATTTTCAGAAGGGTTTATAAAAAAACAGAATATAAAAAAATGAAGAAACGTGAATAATTCTGTGGTATTAATCATAGATGTGTGAAAGCAAATTGTATAGTCAAGGGCTATTTTATTAATGATAATCCTTATGAAACACATCTCTGACTTCTCTGTTTTAATGACCTGACAGGAACAGGATCTAAATTAAGCAGGAACAGATTCATTATATGCAGGGGCTCCTACTTTGAACAAAACCTTGACGTAATGCATGAGGAAAGTAGCTTGCAGTTGGAGATAATCAGAAACTGTCCCAATAAAGCATTATTTTCAGTTGTCACCATAAAGAGATATAATTCTAAGTTACTGGTGTACATCTTGATTCTTGCATTTTAATTGAAACCAAACAACAACACACGCTCAACCACACAGAACACTCCGGCATCGTGGCGGCATGTTTTACATGGCTAATGCTATATTTAGAGGTTTTATTGAATCAACGTGCTGTGGGGACGTAGAGGGTCTGAGTCTTGGGTGCAGGAAAGCAGATCTGTATCCATAATCACAAGCGCTTGGTAGAAGTGGTAGACCAACAGATGGGCCAAACACATCAAAGATCAAAACATTCAAGACATCAAACATTCAGAGGCCAGTTTGTTTTGATCACACACATGCTTCTACGTTTTCAGACAAAACCTGAAGCTCCCAATATACTCTTATTACTTCATCTTTTAAGGGAAAAAGTAGTTCCAAATGCTGAAAAATCATGACAGCCGAACCACCCGAGGGCCCTCTCTGAAAGATTAAATAATGATAAGAGTTGCCTATAAGAGAATTTGTTCAGTTGTTTATTTAATTTGGCTATTGAACGAAATGATTATGAATATGGCTGCATTACATTCCTTTAAAGCCATGCACCGTCACTTTTATGTAAACCTCCAAATCACTCAAATCACTTAACGTTTACGTAATTGTTGGACGCGCTTTATAATAATAAAGTGACGCTGTTCCCAGATGAACACACACAAAATATGCCAAAATGGATTATGCATTAGATCTTAAAATATTACATCCGTTATTAAGATCTGTTATTAGTAACTTTAAAAATAGTCAATTAATTTTGTATTCATACACTACCTGACAAAAGTCTTGTCACCATCCAAGTTGTCTATCATCCAAGTTGTATTCATAACAAATAATAACTTGACTTCTAGTTGATCATTTGGTATCCGAAGTGGGTAATATGAAAGGCAAAGGCCTCTAGATTATGCTTACATTACCAAAATAAAATATGATCATGCCTTGATTTTTAATTATTTAATTAGGACAGTAAGTTCTTTGCTTAGACAAAAGTCTTGTCACTTAACAGAAATAATGTACATTATAGAATAAAAAGTCATGATGCAGTGAAAAAAGAATTAATATTGTGCATGACTCCCATGAGCTTGAGAGACTGCATTCATCTATCTCTGCAATGACTCAAATAACTTATTAACAAGTCATCTGAAAGGGTAAAGAAAGCGTTCTTGCAGGACTCTCAGAGTTCATCAAGATTCTTTGGATTCATCTTCAATGCCTCCTCCTTCCTCTTACCTTAGACATGCTCAATAATCTTCATATCTGGCGACTGGGACACTTTGAACTGCTTTGCTTTCAGGAACTTTTATGTGGAGGCTAAAGTATGAGGAGTGCTATCCTGCTGAAGAATTTGGCCTCTTTTTTGGTTTGAATTGTAATGGACAGTTAGAATGTCTTGATACCTCTGGCTGTTGATGTTGCCATCCCCTCTGTAGATCTCTCGGAAGCCCCTATACTGAATGTAACCCCAAACCATGATTTTTCCTCCACCGAATCTTGGGTTAGGTTAATTGTTAGTATTCGCACTAGTAAATTACATACACAGTCAATGCAGTGCACTGGGGAGGGGGTGTATTAAAGTTAGCATTAACTGGAAGTTGCTGAGACTTTTAATTCTGTATGTTAATGTACTTCCAACTGTAAAGGAATATTGAGTAGGGGATAGGACTTTCTTTTTGCCCATCATTCCCTCACAAACTATTGGTAAGAGGGGAGGGGTATGACTATGAATATTGCAGTCAGACTTTCATAGACTGAACAGGAAAAAAGACAGAAAAATATTCATGTGAAAAGGCGGAGCCTCAGAGCCACACCCACTAGTTTAATAATCATCATTTTCCAATGCTATTTTGAAAGTGTGCTTCGAAGGTTTATCAACTAAAGTGAACCTTTCTCTTTCAAACAAATGCCTTGCTGTAGAGAATGTCTCCAATTTCTGCTGAGATGTAAACCATTACTAACTGGTGTTTAAAACTTAACAAAGACTGAAAATGTTTTTAATATACCTCTAAAAAAACAATAAAAGTTCAAAGCCATTTGTTTTTGGCTCTGGGGATTTTAAGCCAAGAGAAAGTAGCCATGGTTTGTTAAATCACAGCCTATTGAATGTCTCTGCATGTGCTAGCAGAAGTCAGGTGTGCTCGGTTCGCTGCCAGGCATCAGAAAAGCACAGTCAGGTTGTGGGCATTAATGCTGAGTGCCGGGAAAGAGTCACATTTCTGGCAAGAAGCATAGTGTGCTTGCTCAGTGCTTACTGCACCAATGATGGGAAAATCTACTGGATAAATGAGGTGTGATTATCGCTTAGCCTCCGTCCCCTTGTGTGGTTTGGCCAAGACAGGTGCTGTACATCTGTTGCTGACTGACTGTGTTTGCTTTGTGTTTATCTATCGATGATATTTAAACTGCTGTATGATGAGTGATTATATATATGATGAAATTACCTGCAAATGTTTTATAATTCTTTGATGATGGTAATTTCTTAGTGGTTTGTTCACAGCTCATCAACATTATAACAGTTGTATTTAATGAAGCTAATAACTTAATATTTTTTGAAGCTCAGTATTTTTGAGCATAACATTAATGTAACTTCTTGAACAAGATTTTAGCTAGACCTTGTTTGTAAAATATGACCTATTGTGTAATTCATTTACTGCCGTTTTTTTTTTTTAATGCTTGGTTTCTTTGACACTTTGTGCACAAAGATGTCTATTTTGTTATTATACCTGCTAAAGTAACTCATCAGCCTAACATACCAGCTTTTTTCAGCATATTTTGCCAATCTGATCTAGTGTTTGTTTTGTCATCTTCAAAGGTGTTACCGGACTTGTGCAACTGGATGAGAATGGTGATCGGGAGATTGACTTTGCTCTATGGGACATGACCGATACAAAGACAGGAGATTATCAGGTACAAAGGCCTTCATCTGATTACATATACTTTTCCACATTTACAATACTCTACTGACTACAATCTCACCACTGTACGCATCCTAGATTGTGTCTGTGTATAACGGCAGTCAGAAGCAGATGATTTTGGAGCCAGGAATGAAGGTGCACTGGCTGAAGGGAAGGCCGCCTCCAGATATTCCTGAGTGTGGCTTCAAAAATGACAACCCTGCCTGTCTGGCAAGTAAGTGCAGCCCTATATAACTCACGCAATTATAGACCTGTATCAAAAACCACTATATGCTCAGCCAAAATTTGTCTTCCCACATAGTTTTCTGAATACATAGGAAGCCAGCCTTATTTCATTTTTACCCTTATGCACTGTATCTTTAGGGCACATCTAAACTGCAGTATTGATATATTAATTAATTATTCTAATAATTAATTTCTAATCAGCCAATCACATGGCAGCAACTCAATGCATTTAGGCAAGTAGACATAGTCAAGACGGTCTGCTGCAGTTCAAACTGAACATCAAAATTGGGAAGAAAAGTGATTTAAGTGACTTTGAACATGGCATGGTTGTTGGTGACAGACAGGCTGGTCTGAATATTTCAGAAACTGCTGTTCTACTGGGATTTTCAAGCATAACCATATCTAGGGTTTACAGGGAATGGTCTGAAAAAGAGAAAATATCCAGTGAGTGGCAGTTCTGTTGGCACAAATGCCTTGTTGATGCCAGAGGTCAGAGGAGAATAGCCAGATTGATTCGAGCTGATAGAAAGGCAACTTAACTCAAATGACCACTCGTTACAACCGTGGTATGCAAAAAAGTATCTGAATGCACATGTCCAGCTTTGAGGCAGATGGGCTACAGCAGCAGGTGCCACTCCTGTCAGCTAAGAACAGGAAACTGAGGCTACAGTTCACACAGGCTCACGAAAATTGGACAATAAAAGATTAGAAGACGTTGCCTGGTCTGATGAGTCTCAATTTCTCCTGTGACATTTGGATGGTAGGGTCAGAGTTTGCCCTCAGAATAACATGAAATTTTCTTGGCCCTCTTTGGGCCCATTAGTACCAATTGAGCATTGTGTCAACGCTGATGTTGCTGACCATGTCTATTTCTTTATGACCACAGTGTACTCATCTTCCGATGGCTACCTCCAGCAGGATAATGCTGTTAAAAAGGCTTATTGTGTTTTACAAAATGTAATAATAGGAAATATGTATGAGCAGTCAAAATTTAAATAGTTTTATAAGTTATAAAATAAATGTTTCTAAATTATAAAATTTAATAAAATAAATAAAATGGTTCTGATAGTTGCTGCATAATAGTATGTAGAAAGCTGAAACAGCCTATTTAAGATTATGAAATGTTTACTAAAGTCTAAAGTACATGTTTTATCTTGATGTATTTGTTTATTTTTATAATCTATGTTTCAATATTTTTATTGTCTATAAATATTGTATTGTATTGTATTGTATTATTTTGAATAATTTTTTTTATTTATATATTAGTCCTTGTATTTGCTTTTTCTGTTAATGGCCAATGTGGAGATTTGTTTTTAAACTATATATTTTGATATAAATATACATAAATAATATTAATATTTGTATAATGCATTATTTTATAGTATTTGGAATATAGCCTTTTATTTAGTAGTGTGTTACAATTGAAGACAGAATTATTAGCCCCCTTGATTTGTTAGACCACCTGTTTATTTTTTCACCAATTTCTGTTTAACAGAGAGAAGATTTCTAATCATAATAGTTTTAATAACTCTTTTCTATTAACTGATTTATTTTATCTTTGCCATGATGACAGTAAATAATATTTGACATGATATTTTTTCAAGACATTTCTATACAGCTTAAAGTGACATTTAAAGGCTTAAGTAGGCTATTTAGGTTAACTAGGCAGGATAGGATAATTAGGCAAGTTCTTGTATAGCGATGGTTTGCTCTGTGGATTATTGAAGTGGCTAATAATTTTGTCCTTTAAAATGGTGTTTTAAAAAAATTATTAACTGCTTTAAGCTGAAATAAAACAAACAAGACTTTCTCCAGAAGAAAAAAATATTATCAGACATACTGTGAAAATTTCCTTGCTCTGTTAAACATCATTTGGGAAATATTAAAAAAAGAAAAAAATAAACAAAGGGGGGCTAATAACTCTGACTTCAACTGTATTTTGGAAAAGTAAACATCTTCCAAGTTTCAACAAATTCATACAAAATGGATTTATTGTCTCCAAAAAAAAAAGAGTTGATTTGAAATGAATCACTTTAAGTTCTCATGATTTTGATTGGCTGCCGCAAACAACATCTACTTTGACCCTCAAACACTTTAGATGCAGCTGTGATTTGGAAGAGTACCTTTTAAACCTGGCACTTTAAATAAACATTGAAATGCCTACATTATGTAAAGAAGCGTGTGCTTTTTAAGTGTAATTTGCTAATTTTGCTTTTGTTTGAAATGAGGACTGGAATGGTCAGTTAATAGATGCAAAAATGTGCAAGTATAAGTGGGATGAAGCACACAGAGTTAATGATTAATGTGATAATGAAATCTAGGCATGTTTCATGTTGTTTTAATGATGCCCTACAATGTTCTTTCATTAAATTTAAGTTAATAACAGATCTAAAAATACCATTCAGCAGTTGATCATTGTTGTGAGAGCTTCATTTACTGGAACTCTGCATCTCAATACCTGAAAATGCCTTTCAGAAGGCCAACTAAGGACCCACAGTTAGAAAAGCACATTTTGTTTTACCGTCAATTTTAATTAGGGATGCACCGACAGGGATTTAATTTTATTTATTTATTTATTTTTGAACGATAATAATATTAATTATAACAAAAAAAAACTTGGTTCAGTACTGATATTGGTTAATTCCATATAGTGCTTTACAGTATTAGCTAGCTTTTTCCTCCATTAAATTAGTTTTACTGTACACTCACTGTACAGTGTGGATCCATTTTACATTTATCTGTCCAGCATTTTAGTAGAGGCACAAATTAAGATAAAAAATTGCAATATGACAATCTTCAAAGCGGATTTACTTTTAACAACAGAAACTTTTATTTGACATAAAATTGAAGTCAGAATTATTAAACCCCCAGAATTATTAGCCCCCCTGTTTATTTATTTATTTATTTTTTTATTTCTGTTTAACGGAGAGAAAATTTTTCAACACATTTCTAAACATAATAGTTTTAATAACTCATCTCTAATAACTGATTTATTTTATCTTTACCATGATGACAGTACTGTAAATAATATTTGACGAGATATTTTTTCAAGACACTTCTATACAGCCTAAAGTGACATTTAAAGTGACATGTAACCAGGTTGATTAAGTTAATTATGCAGGTTAGGGTAATTAGGCAAGTTATTAACGATGGTTTGTTCTGTAGAATATCAAAAAAATATATAGCTTAAAGGGGCTAACAATTTTGACCTTGGATTTTAAAAAATTAAAAACTGCTTTTATTGTAGCCGAAATAAAACAAATAAGACTTTCTCCAGAAGAAAAAATATTATCAGACATACTGTGAAAATTTCCTTGCTCTGTTAAACAATATTTGGGAAATATTTAAAAAAAAGAACAAAAATGTCAAAGGGGGTTAAATAGTTCTGATTTTAACTGTAAGTGTAATATAAACAGTGACATGGATGAGGATCCATCATAGATAGTTGTGTATTTGGGGCTCCTTTTTTCAGATATTTACTTTAAAAAAAAATAGGTAAATAAAAAAATAAATAGCGCTTCTCCACCTAGTCAGTTACAGAGAATCTGGCAGCCAGGCAACAGAGTGGCGACGTCATGCACACAAATGCTCTACTAGACTCGGGGAGAGGGCTAATAATACTAGTTCCCCTTCGGGGGGAACTTCAGCACTATAAGTGGATTTGATTGTAAAATCCACGCATTGGGAGGTTCGGTTCAGAAGCTACTCGTCTGAAAGAGTATTGAACGGGCCAATTAAGAATGAATTGGCAGCGCAAGCCTGCGCAGGTGAGCGGCATAAGCAATCAACTGAGTATATAAGCTCACCTGGCGCAGCAGACGCTATCCTTTTCGCTTCAGAGACTTTCTGATCGAGTCGATGAGGGTTCCTCCTGCTGTGACCAGCGATTCTGAGCGAACGAGAGCATTCTCCCGGTCCAGAGTGTGTACACGCAGTGGCAGACGGTCGAGCTGGGTTTCTCCCTTGCCTGGCGTTCTTTGGGTCCGGTCCTCCAGAGCGGTGCGTATAAAGTTGCAAACTTCACAGAAAGAGCAACACAGTCGTGCAGCACGTCCTTATCAGGACGGCGCTCCGACTGTGCGTTTCTGGATGCGGTGGTTTCCTGTCCTCGGATGATGGGCGCGGGCACTGTGTTACATGTCTGGGGGTCCAGCATGTTAATGCGCTGCTCGCGGGCAGTTCATGTCGTCATTGCGATGCCATGACTGTTGCGCAAGATCGCGGTTAGCCTTTGCAAAAGGGCGAACCACCCCAGTTGTCCCCTGCTCTGCAGCGGGCACTCGGGCAGATCTGAGGGTTTCAGCGAGAGATAATCCGTCGCCCACGGGCCCGCGGACCTCCCGCTCCTCTAAGCGCTCCATCCAAGCTTCGGGCGGGGGAAGCGATCCGTCTAACAGATGGTAGCCCTTACGCCCGATGACACCGGAGACCAGATGTCCACCGCGGCATCGGAGGGTGGGCTTTCATTGTCCGATGATGATCCAGACCCGCTCGCCCCCTTCGGGCTGGTGAGCGCTGTCACTACGGATCCTGAAACGGACATGTTAGCCGTGCTTTCCCGGGCTGCTTCGGCCGTGGGTTGGAGATGGTTTATCCCCCAGCTCCGCGGCCGGACCGACTAGAGGGGCGTTCCCTTCTTCCCGGAGGTGCACAGTAGGCTCACGCGGTCTTGTAAAGCACTTTTTTCTGCTCGTGCTGCGTGTTCCTCCACCCTAACCACTCTTGACGGTGAAACAGCCAGGGGGTATGTGGCGATTCCTCAGGTTGAGTGCGCGATGGCGGTAAATCCGCGCGGCGCCTCTTCTTGGCGGGGTCCGCCTCGTCTCCCATCCAAAGCCTGTAAGTTGTCTACCTCCCTCGGAGCTAGAGCTTACATAGCTGCGGGCCAGGCTGCTTCCGCCTTGCATGCGATAGCCACCTACCAGCGCTACCAAGCGCAGGCGCTGGCCGAGCAGCACGAGGGTGGGTCCAACCCAGGCTTACGAGCTT